TTAGTTAGTTAGTTAGTTAGTTAGTTAGTTAGTTAGTTAGTTAGTTAGTTTTTCGAGACAGGGTTTCTCTGTGTAGCCTTAGCTGTCCTGGACTCACTTTGTAGATCAGGGCTGGCCTTGAATTTACGGAGACCCGCTAGCCTCTGCTTCCCTGAGTGCCAGGATTACAGGTGTGTGCGACTGCGCTGTTCCTCTGCTTGGTATTTTGACTTACTGAGAAGGGGCTTGTCCCTGCCCTTGCTTTGGAAGAAGGGAGGGATGGTATTTTTATGACCTTAGTTTAGTTTGCTTATTGGAATTAAATAGCCAAGCTCTGATGTTTGTTTATATTTAAATGCCTAGTGGGTAGAGAAGGGTGGTGAACTTCAGGAACTGACTGAGGATCCTGAGCCTGGATTTTGGACACCTGTGAACCTGTTGTTTTATTAGAGAACTTGGATTTTTCTCTAAAAGGGGAAGAAACTCTAATTAAAAGCTCTTGAAGAGAAATTAATAAAGTTGTGGCTCAGGAGATTGAAAGTCTATGAAATCTGGTAAGGGACTATTTACAAGCTACATTGTGAGGTAATGCTTCCTATGTTTACTGTAATCTAGGCCTTGCCATTTTCTAGATCTTTCCAGATAGGAATTCTCATATTGATATGTATCTAGTTTTTTGAGATGGGTTTTCTCTGTGTAGCCTTGGCTGTCCTGGACTCACTTCATAGACCAGGCTGGCTTCAAACTCACAGATAACCACCTATCTCTGCCTCCCAAGTGCTGGGATCAAAGGCGTGCACTACCATGCCCAGCACAATAATTTTTAAAAAACGTTGATTAAGGGGTCTGGAGAGATGGCTCAACAGTTAAGAACACTGACTGTTCCAGAGGACCTGGGTTTGATTCCCAGCACCTACATGGCAGCTCAAAACTGTGTAAGTGTCCAGCTCTAGGGGAACCAGTACCCTTACACAGACATCCATGCAGGCAAAACAGCAATTTACATAAAATAAATACATTTAAAAACATTTATTTAGTATGTATTTGGGCACTTAAGTATACTTAATGGTCAGAGGACAACTTTTGGAAATCAGTTTTCTGATACCATATGGGTTCCAGATGCGCAACTCAGGCTGTTGGGTCACCAGCCTTAGCTGTACAAAACTTGATGCTAAGTGCTAGATCTAACTGTTCCTGTGCACGCGTGCGTGTGTGTTTTGGTTTTCGACACAGAGTTTCTCTGTGTAGCCTTGGCTGTCCTGGATAGCTTTGTAGACCAGGCTGGCCTCAAACTTAAAGCAGGGCACTTGCCTCTGCCTCCCTGAGCGCTGGGTTTACAGGCGTGTGCCACCATTCTCAGTGGCCAAGAAATAACTTGTTAGTCTTGTCAGTAATGTAGGTTCTCTAAAAGCCTGTGTGCACATGTGAGTGTGTGCAGCTCTTGCCTCTAGTTACCCTGCTGTGCCCTGTTAACTCTCAGTGTGCTTTTTGATCAGCTTCTTGATGCTGCCAGTTATTCTTGGTTTCTAGCTTTGGAAGCACTGAGTAAGGCTTGGTCTTGTGCATTTGGAACTTAAGGTCCAGAAGAAGAGGTTAACATTAAGTATAGTTTCCTAAACAGTTGAAGTTATCCTCTGGTATTTGAGGAATTGATGGTTATTTTGTGAATGAACATGGGGCAGGGACACTCAAAGGATAGTCAGGAAAGGTTTTTCTCTGAGGAAATGGAGATTTGAGGGATTAACAGAGGTAATTTGACCAAAGAGGTACTTTCACAAAGAGAACTCAATTTGAGAATATGATCAAGGAACCAACTCATTTTGCTAGAGAATGGGGAAAGAACTATCAGGTGACACTACTTGGGTCAGCAAAAACCTGATGAAATGTGTTTTGTATTCTGTGATAAGGACTTAGGTTCTGTCATGGTGACATTTGTAATTTAAAAAAGGCCAGGGGTGGTGGTGCATGCCTTTAATCCTACTTAGTGAGACCTTGTCTGGAAAACAAACACAACCCTCTCAGAGAGTATGAAGAAGAGGTCAAAGTGTGGAGCCTAGAAGGCAGTACTTAAGCTGAAAGTGGGAAGCAAAGGGTCATAAGGTCCTCCTAGACAGTTGATTTGTAAGAGCTTGGGGACTTAGGGCTGTAGTTCAGGAGTGTGATACTTAGAACTTGCCAGGCCCTGGGTTCAGTTCCTAGCACTGTGCCCCACCGCCTAAAACACCGCCTAAAAAAGTGTGTCTATGTACCTACCTGCCCCCATTTCAGAATCTAGTTTCTAACAGTTGAGAAAAATCTTAACATTTTATGTTAATTCTTTCTAAAAGATAGTTTCTTGTAGTGCATTGCAAAGCTAGCCTCAGACTCACTCTAACTCAGGATGACCTGTACTACTTGCTCATGCTGCCTCTTTTGAGTGCTGGAATCAGTCTGCACTACCATCAGGTTTAGGTGGCACTCTTGGTTGAACTCGGGGCTTGGGCTTCCTGGATGCTGGGCAGCATTCTGTGAGCCACACCCCCAGGCTCTATATTAAAATCTTTAGCTAACTTGGGGTTGGAAAGAAGGCCTCAGCTGTTAAAGAGCAGTTGCTGTTCTTGCAGAGAGTTTGCACCATGGCAGGTGCCAGCATGTGCGGACCCATGTGGGGCCTCATAAACACCTAGAACTCCAGTTTTAAATGCCTCTTTTGGGTGCCTTTAGGCACCAGGTACACAACATATTGCAGACCAACATTTGTATGCATAAAATAAAAAATAAATAATTTTTTAAAATGTTTGGCTAATCAACCTGATTGTGAGTTTAATTTTTGGTTTGAATCCTAGTGTAGAAAAACACTGATAATAGGATTTTTAGATCTTGTTTGAACTGCTTAAACTCAATAATTATCTACATACTTTCATTGGTAAATATGTATGTTATTGTACCTTAATTTTGTATATTAAAATTAACACCTCCATTTTCTTATTTGGAGCTCATTGTTTGTTTTTCAAATTATTTATTTAGTTGTATTTTATTTACATTGGTGTTTTGCCTGCATATATGTCATGTCCCAGTTATGAGCCACAGTGTGGGTGCTGGGAATTGAACCCAGGTCCTCTGGCCAGTGCTCTTAACTGCCAACCCATCTCTCTAGCCCCATCTTGTTTGTTTTTTTAAGAACTTCAGCACTCTGCAGGAGCCTGATCGTACCATCCAGGTCAACTTTCTTTTGCCCTGGTAGGCAATATTCACAATCCACTAAATCCAGTTCTGTACTTAATATCCTGTGCCCCTCTTTTTTTGTTGTCATTGTTGTTCTGTTTTGTTTGGGGTTTTTTTTTGTTTCTTGTTTTGTTTTTAGGCTTTTTGAGACAGGATTTCTCTGTGTAGCTTTGGCTGTCCTGGATTCACTTTGTATACCAGACTGGCTTCGAACTCACAGCAGTCTGCCTGCCTCTGCTTCCCTGAGCAGTGGGACCAAAAGTGTGCATCACCACGCCCAGCTTCCCCTCTGCTCTTACATACAGTTACCTCTGGCTTAGTCTTGATGGCTCTTGCTTGCCCTGCTTTACCCATTACAGTAAAGTTGATTTCCTAATGTGTAGCTATCATTGTTCTGTTTCCCATTGGCCAGAAAATATAATTTGAACTCCACTTCAGCTTTCTATCAACAGCACAAACTACCCCAAAACATACTAGTTTAACAATAGTTTAATCTGTTGACAGGAGTGTTGTATGTATGTGTTTTGAGTCTGGAGCTGATATGTAGACCAGGCTGAAGTTGCTGTGATCCTCCTGCCTCAACATCCAGAGTGCTAGCATTAAAAGGAAGCACCGCCACACCTAGCCT